GTAAAATATTTTAAGTAATTACTATATACATAATTTTTCATCATTTTATATTTTTGGTTGACAAATAAGTACTGTATAATATTATCATAGCACCCTGTACAATACTGATTTTATTGCTTTAGTGAAAATACTTAAAATATTTCTTCTAAAGGCCTGGTGGTCCATTAATGACAAAACAAATTGTGGTTTGTTAATTGACAAAATCAATTAATTACTATCAAGTGGTCATTTTGCTTGCTTAAAACCAAGTTCTAATTTGATTGCAGGCACTATTGCTTCTCATTATGAGAATTTCAGAGTTCAAGATCTTACAATATAATGATTACAAGATCTAACAAACTGCCTCCAGGTGGGGGAAAGTTACTTTGAATGAACACAAAAATATTGAGTAAATTGATCATTTCCAAATTACTTTTGCTTTGAAAGGACACACAAATTTTAAGTAAATCCATCACTTCAAAGTAATAGTTTTGCATTCTGTCAAATTGAATTAAATATTCTTTATTACTTAATAAAGAGCTGAAGTTGATAGTACTCAAAAAGGCCGATGCAACCTCTTACGGTATTTTTTTGTTTCTGATTAAAGCAACACTTTTTACAGTGTAGTAATTCTTGTCATGTGTCATCAGATCCTGGTAAGTTTGATTGGTAACCCTTACTCAAAAAAAGTGTGGACACTAATTGCACATGATTTAATTGAGTAACTGTTATCAACAATCAGATCAGGTAAAGTCTGCATGAAATATTGTATTAAGCTTTACTCTTGACCAGGTAAAGTTTACTCACAATAAATTATAGAACCTTACTCCAGTGCAAATTAAAGTTCACCAATATAAATGAGTAAAACATAACTCATTGTTAATGTGTAAAGTCTACTTAAAATTATTTATGAAACCCTACTTTTTGCCGTTTACACTTTACTCATTCAGGTTACGAAAATCATAACCTTCTATATTTGTTTACTTTGAATTATTTATTAAGCCCTACTGGAGTAGCTGTAACATACCATACATCTTCTACCCCTTAATCCATTTCTGGGTCAGGGGGGGGGGGGGGGGGGGGGTTAGTGTAGCCTTGATCTTTCAGCAGGGGCTTTGGGCAAAGTGGGTTTAAGTGTTGTCCAACACTGAGGCCCAACAACAGCAGACATCAGTGGTAGTCGGTGGAGAAGTGGGAATTGAACCCACAACCTTCAGGACTAAAGGCCAATGCTCTACCAACTGAGCTACTGTCGCCCTGTACAATGCCTCAGTCGTCTTTATCAAGTAAGCTTTACCTTGTATGAATAATGCAACCTTGATCTTTACATGCTAACATGGATTAATGAAAACGTGAAGTAACCCATTATTGTACAAGACAATCCCATCTGTATGCAATAAAACAATTTGATGAGACCAGAACAAATGTGTCAAAGCACTTTTCCACAACACAAATGTAAACCTCACTTATAGAGTCATACCAAATTTTTTTTACAAAATTAGTCCTGAAATCCTGGCATCGTCTTAATATTATAGACATTTTTGGTGACGTAACGGGGCTTTGACCAAAATTGTTACTAAAATTGTGACAACAAAATTGTCCAAATCAGGACAATAACTTAAAATATCTGTTAAACATAAAATGAAACGGCCAAGAACATAAAAACAGCCAAAAAATGCCAAAAGGTAGTTCTTCAGACTTAACAGTTTTGGTGGTAGAGGTTGCTTTCTGCTCTTTCTGTATAACTGTATACAGAGACCACAGCGGTGAGAAGGCACAGGTCCCGGGTGAGAAGGCACAGGTCTTGGGTAAGAAGGCACAGGTTCCATGCTCGCGGTGTAAAAGCATAAGATGGCGCCGAGGCAGGAAACACACAAATATTATTTGAACTTTTTTTTTTCCCTGATAGCACTTCTGCGTATACCACATCCATCCCCGGCATACTAACTCTGGTGAGTAGAAAACTTTAATACTAGGACTCCTATACTGTAGCAGTCATTTTGACAGCTCCCATTCCAATGAATGGAATTCTACAGTTTAGGTTTTACTACAGTCCTTCAGTTTGACACAAACAAATAACTATTATATCATAATGTGAAGAAAACTAACCTGATGTCTCTCTGTCCTTTCTGCTCCAGAAGATGGTGACGGTCATCTCTGATGGAAGAGACTAAAACCCGTCTCTAGAAAACCCAAACTGGAGTCTCATAAGTGGTTATCATCCACTGTCAATAAAAGACACTCAAACATGAGCCTGATCTCACTTATAAGTTATATTGCATAAGGTTTTCATTGATTCTCTCGTCATGACGACCATGAGATGGTAAATATAATTGGGTCATTTGGTGCTCTTTTTATGGCTGTGGACAGATGTGGATGGATTAAAATGACCTCTTAGTCATTACAGAAATGGTTCAGACACAAAGAATTGAGAGGGACAGGCGTGTTTATAAAGCCAACATTTAGAACTGATGAAATCGAACGTGGTCAACACGGTGGCTGAGTGGTTAGCACTCTTGCTTCTCAGAAAGAAGGTCCTGGGTCTGAATGAGTTCTCCTCATGTCTGCATAGGTTTCCTCCGGATCCCCTACCACTAAAAACTTGTACACTAGTTGCACAAAGGGACGACGGATGGAAATTAGCCCAAGGCTACAATCCGGAGTGATGTGTTTATAAATGTGACCTGTTCCAACCAAATAAACATAAACTTAAAGCTCAAACTTAATCTGTTTGAGTGGTTGATCTCTGGAATAGATGCACAGATGAACTCATGTACTTCTCTTTTCCACATTTAAACTATCATTTTGGACGACTATAGGAGAACTCTTGATGTGTATATACTTTACAGTGTATGGTATAGACAGTAGTTGCTTATGTAAAGATCCAGGACACTCTGCATTCGACAACATTTACGGACATTGATCATCTGCTCCTTTTGGGCCAATTCTTTTAATCATTGCATTTCTTAAGTTTGAACCGTTTGATTCTCTAATCTGTGTTGGTGAATTCAACAGTGTTTCAAAGCCCTCAGAGAAAGTGTCACAATCAGACACATCAGTCCTGATATAGTTTGGATTTTTGTCTGGTTTACGGTTTATTGATTAGAGATATTTCTACAGAAGTCTTTTACGCTATGTCATATTTTCTGTCGGTTATTACACCATTCTGCACCTGTGTTCCCAGAGGTCTCCCATCACAGTACTGACCAGGCCCTTCCCTGCACAGCTTTAAAAGTCTGACGGGATCTGCTATTTTTTTTTCAGACAGAAAAGTGAAAAAGATAGAACCACCCTCACTCATGTACTGTCATGAATGTTAGGTACCCCAGCTTTAACGTACAGTTTGCAGTCTTCAGGTGTCAAAACCCAGAGAATTGTGGAGAAACTCAAACATGTTTTTAGTTTATTTGAATAATTAAATAACTTTAGATCAGTCCATCGAAAGAAAATTTACAAAAGCAATGTACAATAATTCATTACAAAACCAAACAATGTTTTCAGAATGTTCTCTCGAGTCGTGGGTTTGCATAAATAATACATGTGAATACTATACATTTATTACATGACACATACATTACTAATAGTAGGAGCTTGTAAAAAAACGTGTTCGTCGTCATGGAGACAGTGTTTTGTGTGAAAAAAAACCAGATTAGAAATATGGAGCTATGAAATAACATTAAATCGCTGTGCAAAAAATATATTTGGATTTGGACAAAGGACATATTTAGTTTGTAGATATTGCACTTGAGTCCCTACAGTCCTGTTTTAGACATTTTTAGGATTCGGAGCGGACCAGAGGAATGACAGAGGTGAAGGCAACACAAACTCTTAGATAAATATAATAAATAAACACTTTTGCTTATTGAGAACAGCGTCAGGTAAACCGATTGGAAGTCGCCTCTCAGCAAGAATGGCCTTTTCTAAGTGGAGTTTGCATGTTCTCCCCATGTCTCTAGTTTCCCCTAAATGATTTCAGAAAATACATTTACAAAGATCTCATACAATATATATTTTCTGTACGTACACAATTCTGATATTACAAAAAGCTTCAGTGTTCGGGACTGAAATCTATTATACATTTGCTGCTGTTGATCCTCTCTGTCACTTGATTGTCTTTTATCACTCGAATTCTTAGAGCAGTCAATTTGACGGCTTTTAGTTTTGGAAGTGTAATTACTCATCTCATGCGCATTCTTGGTTAGAGTATTAAAGTAAAGTGCTAGTTACCATAGCAACACACCGTTAACTGTCATAAGTTAGCATTAGCCTTTTTTGTGTGCTGCATTTTAATGACAATGATCCGTTTTAGCACTTATCAAAAGTGTGTAAAAGTAAGAATATTACTATAATTTATTTTCAAAATGACGATGTATAATAAAATATCAATAATCAGCCTTTTGGGATTACAGATATTTTGATTTTAGGCTCTTTTTGAGTTTTTGCCGTGCACTGGTGAAACTCGTAAAATTAGAATATTGTTCAAAAGTTCATTTATTTCTGTGATTAAACTTACAATGTGAAACCAGTAGGATATAGAATTATTACATACAGAGTGACCAATGCCAAGCCTTTCTGTCAGAATGTTGATGATTTTGGTCCTTTTAAAAAAATAAATGTAATTTCCTGAGATGTTTTATTTGGGGTTTTTTAACAACCTGTGAGTGAATTATCAACATTGTTTATCTTTGACTTGATCTTTGCGGACGCAGTAGGGTCTAAGGACAGCGATGATCCGGGACATGTAAGGACATTTACGGTCATGGTCATTGCATTTCCTGTGTCCGGACTGATTCTCTGATCTGTTATTTGCGAATTGACAACTGTGTAGAGTCCTCCGAGATGACTGCTGTTGTGAATTAGGGTGATACAAAAATAAAATGAATTGAATAAAGGCTTGAGCTCTGTGCCTTTGCGTGGCACGGGTCTGTACTCTGCAAGATGAAGGACAGAAACAAATGAACTTTCGTTAAAGTTTTTTTTTTTTTCGGAGAAGAAAGTAGCAGCAGCAGCAGCAGCGGGGGTCAGGTGTGTTCTCCGTGGCGTTCCGGGCCGACGCTGTGCTCTTGTGCGATGGCGGCCAGCTCTTTGAGGAACTCGGCGAACAGGACCATGGCGAACACGCGGCTCTGTGCCTGTGGCGGGATGGCGGGGCAGGGGGGCAGAACCAGGGCACAGGGGGCCACTGAGCCGTTTGGGAGAGGCCCGTCTGAGGAGGAGTCTGGGGCCGATTGCAGCAGCTCTGAGGGACAGGAAGTGGAACGTTACCATCTTATGTGTTTATGGAGGAGAACGTCTGTCTGTGTGGATTTACTGGTATTTTACTTGGATCTATTTTGACTTATTTCTCTGTGGTTTTAGTTTAGTTTGACTTCCTGTCCTGTTCACCTGTGTCTATCTGTACCTGTGCTCTGAGTCATACCTGTGTCTCTGCGTCCATATGTACCTGTGTCTCTCTGCGTCTACATGTACCTGTGTCTCTCTGTGTCTACATGTACCTGTGTCTCTCTGTGTCTACATGTACCTGTGTCTCTCTGTGTCTACATGTACCTGTGTCTCTCTGCGTCTACATGTACCTGTGTCTCTCTGCGTCTACATGTACCTGTGTCTCTCTGCGTCTACATGTACCTGTGTCTCTCTGCGTCTACATGTACCTGTGTCTCTCTGCGTCTACATGTACCTGTGTCTCTCTGTGTCTACATGTACCTGTGTCTCTCTGTGTCTACATGTACCTGTGTCTCTCTGTGTCTACATGTACCTGTGTCTCTCTGTGTCTACATGTACCTGTGTCTCTCTGTGTCTACATGTACCTGTGTCTCTCTGTGTCTACATGTACCTGTGTCTCTATGTGTCTACATGTACAGTACCTGTGTCTCTCTGTGTCTACATGTACCTGTGTCTCTCTGCGTCTACATGTACCCGTGTCTCTCTGCGTCTACATGTACCTGTGTCTCTCTGCGTCTACATGTACCTGTGTCTCTCTGCGTTTATATGTACCTGTGTCTCTCTGTGTCTACATGTACCTGTGTCTCTCTGCGTCTACATGTACCTGTGTCTCTCTGCGTCTACATGTACCTGTGTCTCTCTGCGTCTATATGTACCTGTGTCTCTCTGTGTCTATATGTACCTGTGTCTCTCTGCATCTATATGTACCTGTGTCTCTCTGTGTCTATATGTACCTGTGTCTACATGTACCTGTGTCTCTCTGTGTCTACATGTACCTGTGTCTCTCTGTGTCTACATGTACCTGTGTCTCTCTGTGTCTACATGTACCTGTGTCTCTCTGCGTCTACATGTACCTGTGTCTCTCTGCGTCTACATGTACCTGTGTCTCTCTGCGTCTACATGTACCTGTGTCTCTCTGCGTCTACATGTACCTGTGTCTCTCTGCGTCTACATGTACCTGTGTCTCTCTGCGTCTACATGTACCTGTGTCTCTCTGTGTCTATATGTACCTGTGTCTCTCTGTGTCTATATGTACCTGTGTCTCTCTGCATCTATATGTACCTGTGTCTCTCTGTGTCTATATGTACCTGTGTCTACATGTACCTGTGTCTCTCTGTGTCTACATGTACCTGTGTCTCTCTGCGTCTACATGTACCTGTGTCTCTCTGTGTCTACATGTACCTGTGTCTCTCTGTGTCTACATGTACCTGTGTCTCTCTGTGTCTATATGTACCTGTGTCTTTCTGTATCTATATGTACCTGTGTCTCTCTATCTATATGTACCTGTGCTCTGTGTCTATATGTACCTGTGCTCCTCTGCCCTCGTTGATGGTCCATTGTCAATGTATGTCCTTGTGTTCGATAATAGCATGAAAAAACGGACACGTTAAAACTAGAAATCTATAAAAAACTGGTTAAAAGTAGAAATGTGTGCATATTTTGTTTGAGAATCTCTGTTTTTTCCCCATTATCTTTTTCCCAGTGATTGTTTATTTTATTTATGTATTTATATATTTGGAGGATAAGCCAAAGAAGATGAAACATTTCATTTTTGAAGGGGGTCCACCACAGATGTTGCACTGAACACAAACGGCCACTAGAGGGCCTCTTAACAGTTTCACATAATGACAAATAAAATAAATATATTTCCCTTACTTTACATTACAATAAGTTTTCCTCTTTATTCATTTATATTTCTTAATTCAAGTCAAGAACAGATAGAGAATGACTTTGGTTTGCGTACTTCAGCAGGGATGTGATAAAAACATTGTGTAACTTTGTGTAACTCTGACCTCTGATCTTCTTGTCCTGATCCTTGATGAGCAGAAACCTCCAGGCCTCAGACACCAGCGCTGCACATTCCGGAGTGTGCGTCAGGAAGCGCTCGATCTGCTCACGCACCGAGACCAGGACCTGCACACGCAACACACACACACACACACACAAACACACACCAAACACACAACAGCTGCTTCAAATGGCCTGTGTTCTGTTGCGTTACTTGGTAGAGTGTGCAAATGTTGGTGTGTGCTGTTGTCTGGTGAAGTGTGTGTGTATTGTGTTTTCTTATCTGGTGTTGTGTTGAGTTACCTGGTAGAGTGTGCGTGTGTTGCAGTGTGTGTGTTGCGTCTCGGTGCAGAGTAAGAAGCTGTGGAGAAGAGGTTGTGGGTGCGACGCCAGCTGAGCCAGGATCCCAGTCACCAACAGATTCACAGCAATCGAGTTTTCCAGAAGATTCTCCAGACGAGACAGAAGCACGCTGACGAACGGACCTGAAGGACAGAGGAGAAGAGACAGAGGGGACAGAGGATAGAGGACAAGAGACAGAAGAGAAGAGACAGAGGAGAAGAGACAGAGGGGACAGAGGATAGAGGACAAGAGAAAGAGGACAAGGGGCAGAGGACAAAAGGGAGAGGACATCAATATCACATTAAAATGTCCTAACATTACAAACTGGAGACAGCATTAAGCTTATAGCCTGTTATCATAACAGAGCTAGCAGGTAAATGTCTATGATAACTAATGTATTTGTTTAATTTGATCTAGCTGAATCAATAGTTCCAACAAATGTTCAAGGTATTACCAAGTAAATACTTTATACATACATATACTATAGTAGATGTGTCCAATATACTCTCAAAAAACTTGCCAAAAGCCAGCATAAGCTCCATAGAACCATTGCCATGGCCAAAATTAAGAGACACAGGAGGAGAACATCCAAAATGGGTAAACATTTAACAAGAGAATTTCACACAATGATAAATGTTTTGCATGTTTATCAAAATAATTCAACATCCTGTAGAATAATAGACCTTTTGAAAGTAACTGAATTGTTCTGGACACTCAATTTGTCTTTGCTGGTTTATGTTTGTAAACTGTTTGTTGTGCTTAATGCAAATCAATTCCATACGAATAAATACATAAATAAAAAACCAAAAACAAAGCTGGCTGTTACTATGGTGAAGTTGAGATGGAGTGATAAGGGACTTGTCATTTAACCTGCAGTTTAAGGTAGTGCTTAGTTTGCATTAGGAATCTCACTGACCGTGGTAAAAAGGAATATATAAAACCTAATGAATGTGTTGACAATATCTGACTAGTTTGTCATTAAAAGTCACCTGTGAATGCTACCCCGTTGGTCGCATTGTTTTTGGCCTCCTCGTCTCGCTCCCTCTCCTCCGTGTCTCCGCCGCTGTCCCAGCCCAGGGCCTCCTCGCACAGCCTCACCTCCTCCTCTTCCTCCTGCTGTAGCTTCCTCCTCAGCGCTCGCACTCTCCTCCTGAACGATCCGATGTCGTCCGTGAACTCCTCCACGTCTGGCTCCACGCCTAACGACCGCATCAACTCTTCGTACTGAAACATGAAGCTATCGTTGCTAATGCTAACCTCACTTTGAACCACTGTTGGCGGAGTTTCCTCTTTTGCCTCGTGGTGTCCGTTCAACAACACGTCCTCCACCGGTTTGACTACGTTGTTGACGTTATTCCTATAAAGCATGTTACAATCGCTTTTGATGTCGATCTCAAAAATGTTATTGCTCCCACTGAAGCCGTTGGTGAGTACATAGTGGCTTTTGGGCAGGTCTTGAACTTCGATCTTTATTCTTTCATCCTTTCCCGTGTCTTCGCTACGTCTTCTCGTCGACATGATGCTGTTCACCGTTTCCAAAACACTTTTTCCAGTCGACGTCAACAGAGACGCAAACGTATTTCTCACCGGTGACTTCATTTTTGGAGTCTTCTCTCGATCGACGTGTATTTTAGTAGCGGCCTTGATGTCTTTTTGCGCCACGAGATCGTAGACCAAGACGTCTTCCTCGAACTCGGCCTCCTCCACGTAGGATCCGTGGACGAGCCTGATGGCGTTCCGTCTCATTTCCTGGATGTGTTTTGGAGGGTTTTGAGCCAAGCCGGTTTGCGAATCGTCCGAGTAGTTGTTATTGGCGAGGGTTGAAGATTCTTCGTCGAACATCTCGTCCCATTCCAGATCCAGGGCGGAGCTGGATCGAGTGGCCTGGTTGCTGGTGGATGTGGTGTCGATGGAGGACGGGGTGGGGGAGAGCAGAGGGGGGATAGGGGACATGGCTAAAGAACAAACGGAGCTGCTTTCGGGGCGCGGGAAAGGAATGTCGTCACTGTCGTCCTCGATGAAGATTCCAGGAGTGTCGCAGCGGAAACTGTCCGAGGAGGGGTTCAGGCCGTCGTACGGAGCCGACCACAGCTCACACGCTCTGTGGAAGCAGATACAGGCCAAAGATTTACACGTAGCTCAGCTCTGTCAGGACCAGAGCTGGAGGATAACACCCATTGTGCAGGTTTTTAGTGGTTTAGGGGAAACTGGAGCATGCAGAGGAAAAAAAGGAAAGACCTTCAACCTTGCACCAAACTATTTGCCACCGTACATTAGTAGTGGGGGAAAGAATTGCTTCTGTTCAGTATTGCAATATTTTGAGCACAAAATTAAATGGATACAGTAATAATATAATAATAATAATGCATCTGTTTTATATAGCGCTTTTTTTGGGCACACAAAGACGCTTCACATATTGTTATTCTTTCACTCCATACACGGTGGTGATAAACTACTACTGTAGCCACAGATGCCCTGGGGCACACTGACAGAGGCAAGGCAAACAGTGTGTGCCATCAGCCCCTCCGATCACAACCAACCATTCACACACACACCAGACTTATTCAGTAGAAGTGAGACTGACCTGTGAGCTGTGGAGATGGCCTGCTGTGCGTCCCACAGATAGTGAAGGTAGTTTACGTCCATCAAAATATCTGAACTACGACAGAAGCCGACAACATCTGACACCAAGGGATCTGAAAAACATGGTATCCGTCAAATATATTTAGTGCTAACAGCCTAGTCACATTCTTATGGTGCGTCCACACTCAAAGTCACGTCCAAACAAGTGAACACTGCAAAAATCGATAAAATACAAGAATACATTGAATTGAATTGAAATAACAGATGGGAGTTAAAGATGAAACAGTCTAACCCAGTGGCTCCCAGTGGAATAGAGCAGTGGACAGCTACGTACGCGTTCCTTTGGGCCAGTGTACGAGCTCCGATGGCTGCAGAAAGCTGTGTGTTTGAGAGCACCAGGACGGCATGAGCCTCAGGAGACTCTCAGCGCTGGAGCCGCAGTCTGTGAGGAGACTCAGGCCAGAGCAGGGCACCAGGAACCTGCAGGACACACATCACACACACACAGGTTTTTCAAATGCAAAGGGACAAAAACCAGCTTTAAGGTTCACCCATAGACTGTATACAGATGGACAAAGCAAACCACCCAGCTCAATGAAGCCCAATAAGGAAGTGCTCCTGGACAAAGTTTTGCTCCAAAGTTTGCATTGTTTCCTATTGACTTTCATTAAAAAGTCTTCCAAACTCCAATCAGTTCCGGTTTTGTCACACACATAATTTTCGATTTAAAACATTGGTGGTTTAGCGCTCTATGTGATCCTGGTGTTTGTACTGAGCCTTATAAGGGTTGATCAAACAGATAGTGCACAATATTTATTTTATGTTTTTTACAGCTCAGCCAATATTGACTGATATAAGATCACAGACTGAAAGTGAATAATAATGTATTTGTAAATATTGTGTAATTGAAAATGTGTGTTCACAGTCACACTGTGAAAAACTGACCTGAAGACGAGCTGCAGCATCACGTCTTCACAGAACAGACCGATGAGAGTCCGGAACAGAGCCAGAGACACAGTCCCCAACTGGAGCACACAACACACACATGAAGAACACACAACACACACATGAAGAACACACAACACACACATGAAGAACACACAACACACACATGAAGAACACACAACACACACATGAAGAACACACAACACACACATGAGGAACACACAACACACACATGAGGAACACACAAAGCACACATGAGGAACACACAACACACACATGAGGAACACAGAACACACACATGAGGAACACACAAAGCACACATGAGGAACACACAACACACACATGAGGAACACACACTTAAAAGTACATATCAGTATCATACTGTATCCTAGTTTATAATTAAATAATTTAAAATAAAGGAACTAATGAACCACACATTTACTGTGCTGAATAATAATTACTACAACGGTTTTAACACAGTGGTCGATCCAGGTGCTGAAAAAAGATAAAACTCTCGGCTCCTCTCCTAATCTTCCACATTTCATTGACCAAGGTCGAAGTTTGACAATAACAGGACTCTTCTTCAAAACAATCCGACAGACTCTCAGTACCCCGCTCTGGACCCCCCCACTCCACATCCAAGTGTCTTTGTAAAATGTATATTACTGCCCTCTGCTGTTTCTATTATTAATCGCAGCAGGAGCGGCGTGTACTATCTTCTCTGTAGTCTTGCAGACTTTTTCCAATGTGGTTTTACTGCAAATGGCAAATTCATTCTTGAATCTTGAATCTTGAAGTGGGTTCACTTCAGCTTTTGTCAAATGTTGTTAAAACCATATGGTCTCAAGCCTTTTGCAAGAAACTTAACCTGTACTCCGGCCTCCACATTAACTGATCACCAAAAAGTTGCAGCTGTAGTTTATTTAAATGCCTATTTGTGTCCAGTGTTTTAATCATTAAACCATCGCCATCTCCAAACCAAATAAATTACACAGCGATTGAGGAAATATTCCTAATGTTATGTCCAGGGCAGTCACCTGGAAGGGGGTGTTGACGCGGCTGACCAGCGTGTCCAGGATGTGCACCTCGTCGTGAGAGTGAAGCAGGATGAAGGAGAGGAAGGTCTGGAGCAGAGCCGGCTCATGGATGGAACGCAGGAACAGGTCCAGATACGCTGTCGTGGTCATCACCTCCTCCACCGTACACTGCGACAAAGACAAGAGGCCTCAGAATGTACAGTATGTGGCTCTATGAGGGCTTTAACTAGAGGGAAGATACAGTAGGATACAGTGTGGGAGGATGGTAGTAGAGCCAAAGTAAGAAGTGACTAACCTTATGTAGAGCAGGAGCGAGGACAGGCACAAGAAATCCGTTGTAGATGTAACTGAGCAGCTGGAATCGAATGGACGGATGAGCCACCTGGACAGAGACGCACCGAAACTCACTCACAATATTCTGCAGTATGATTACGGAGCACAGGTATCGTCATTTCCAGACTATACAGGGCAACTTCTTTCCAGTTCTGCGGCATACATAGCAATACGGCTACTATACGTATATTAACTGTGGTAGACTTGGGCTGTTGTCAGAGCACAGATTTTGGCCAATTATTTCGACTCCATAAAGTTTTAGTGGCTATTTGACACTTGTTTATTGTCGATGTAAACTGGTGAATGAGTACCGGCATGGAACCTAATGGATAAGCTCTCATCATGTCGTGACCAGTTTATCTGTTACATTACATCATGAAAACCTGCAACTTATATTCAAGTGCGGTCTTTATGTGAACAAAATTTACTTTCTTTTCAAATGTTGCGTGTGTCTAATAGTCCAAAAAGTATGGTAATTGGTGAGTTCTCCCTCTTTCTCAATACATATATGTACTGTATATAAGGATTACGGAGAACGCTAAACCAGTTTTTTGAGTGTCACACCAACGGTTACTGATTCAGATTCAGATTCATTTATTTGCCATTTGCAGTAAAACCACATTGGAAAAACTGTGCAAGACTACCCCGGTGTGCACCACACACACCAGAGCTCTTGCCACTCTTGAGCCTGAGGTATTGACTTTACAATGTAGGTCAACAGGAGCCAGAGCGAAACTTGGAGCAAACCTTCATCTATGAGCGCTTAGCTATCAGAATTCATGGAGTTTTATTCTTCTGTATTCAGAAAACACTATCGGTGATGTCAGAACTCAGTCAGTCCACTCGGCTTGAGGCTGACAAGAGTCCAGGGAGTGGTTTAGGATTCGGTCTAAATGTGTGTATCACCTTTGTCACTGCGCTGCAGAAGTCCAAAGAGTGAAGGAAGTGAACGAGGGCTGGAACCTGGAGTGAGACAAAGGAGAGAGAGGAGCATCAAGCTCTAGGATTCTGAATCTTCAGCTACAAAAGTAGGATATTATAAAGAGTGAAAGCTGTTTCATTACAGTTTTTAATCACTTTTTGTTAAAAAATATAACTACGGTTCAAGCTAACTATATCAATGTTACACAAGGTCCAGACCATTTTGGCAGAAAATGTTTAAAATACTTGAGTTAAAATCGACATGTCGGTAGATGTAGTCAGTGTATTTGAACCAAGATGAAATAAAATTTGCTAAAAAAAAAAATATCACTGGTTGTCACATTGATGGGGTCCCTGCTGCTGGAATGAGCATAGTAAGTTAAGAGTCATAGGACAAAATCAAACACTGCTCTCTTGTGTCAAGACTTGGTACTATCTGAGGATAGGCTCCTCTACCATGTTTAAATGTGTTCAAATTCATTTAGCAGAGTTAAATATATTATTCACACAAACTACATTTTAATCACACAATATTGACATTCCACATGCTATGCCCTGAGCGGTCTGTGGGAAATTTGACGCATCCTGTAGGACATTTTAAACAATTTAATAATTTGTAAAATTAAACAAACACTTAAGAACAGCCATCAAACACAGAAAGAATACACTTAAAAAAAGTATTTTCTTCTTTTTTTTTTTTCTCTGGTGAATAATCCCCTGACCGCACATCTACATCACGTCTACCACATTGTATAAAACTAACAATGTTTCATAACCTTTTAACACCATAACACCACAGATCGTTGCTTGTTGTGATGCAGACTTCTACTTGTGTGTGAATGCTCATCTGTAATTTAAGGGAAGGACATTTGTCTTCTGTCGTTGTGTGATTTTCTGTGTGTTGTTGTTAATATGCTAATTTCCTCTGGAGCAATAAACACGGTGACGACGGGTGGTCTGAACGTGTGCAGAGCGTCACCTGCTGCCAGTCGTGAGGCTCCAGACAGTGCCAGTCCTCGCTGTAGACCTGCAGTCGAGCCGGCAGAGATGAGTACAGTCCAGACAGACCTGTGGCCAGAACCTGCAGCAAACGTTTAGTTGCATTATCAATAGAGAGTCAATCAATCAATTAAAGGAGGGGTACCTAACTTTCAAACCTCACGGAATCTAACTATTCAATGAAATCCATCTAGTTCCTGACTCTCAAAACAGCTAGTTTTCATTGTAATCATTGCAGATCCTTTGAGGCACAATTATATCTGGGAGCTTTTGTTTTGCTTTTTTCCAACATGGCTGTATTCTTAAAGCTGGTGTACCTATCTGGGAATCAACAAAAAATTGAAATATGTAATTACATTTATCTAACTCATTAATGGGTCTCATAACAGTTTGAGGTTCTTATCCCTAGTTTCACATGCATGCGGTTGTCTGCATCTTTAGATCTCCAGACAGAAAAGAGAAAAAGAGAAGACCACCCTCACTCAGCCAATCAGCTCTCAGCCCAAAGCATCCAATAGTGACTCACAGGGCAAGATGAAGACAAGATGTTGTGGCCTTATTGTTATTATTATTATTAATATTATTATCATTTTTTCTTTTACATAACTATTATATATTCAGTTAGGGTTAGGTTAGGATTTAGGAAATACACCTTTAATGTTGTTCTGTTAAAGTTTTTCCTCTCTGTGCAATTAGATATATCAGAAACAACTTTCTCCAAAGGTGAAGGGGTCAGTGGTGTGTTGCACTGAGAAAGTGGGAGTGCAGTGGGTGAATGGGCAGCGGTCCGGTCACGTGCTAAAGATAATCCTGTAATCCATTCCGAGCTAAGATCCAGGTCATCACATGGTTCAGACTTAGAGCCCGCCTTTGTGTCGCTCCAAGCTCAAAAGCGGCTCCATTAATGCACTGTACATTAGGGATGTAACAAAACACACAGACATGGGAATCAGAAGAAGTCTCAACCTGGATTTTTCTTGTTAAAAATGTGCAAGATTACAGATTTGTTAAACTGGTTTAAATTATTCATATTGTTGTATCTCTTTGAATATGGTTCTATGGATACAAAAGGCGTTATTGTTGGATAACCAGTGGTTCCCAACCTTTTTATTCACAAGTTTCTCCGCGCCATTGTCGGCTCGCCAGGAGTACTCCCTGTTGTTAAGGGTAAAAAACGTACAAGTACCCAGTGGGACTTCATTGTTACCCCAATATCTCCATCATCAAGTTGTTTATAACGTTTGATTTTTTCTGAAGAAACTTGGATTGAACCAAAATTGGACCACAAGTAAGAAAGGCTTGTTACTGTCTTGCTTACTTTACCAATTATTATCATTCATCGTAATCTGGGTTCTATGTGCATAAAATAAATGATATGGTTGTTTTATTGGAAAAATTAGCTTTGAAATGACATGCAATAGTTGCCCAATTATATCTATTACTATCAATGTTTTTATTATTTTTTATTTTTTGTGTTTTGTGTTTTAATGTTTGCATGTGTTGAAAATCATTCCAAGTACCTCTAAGTAGATTTGTGAAACCCCTGGTTGGGAAACAGGCCCGTAGCCATTAAACAGATGGAGGAAAAAAGATAAATCTCAGTGAGATTCATTGTTAAGGCAGCTAAATAAGACATACGAGCTGCTTCTAATGACTTCTCATGCTGTTCCAAGGTCTTTCTCCTCTCTTTCCCAATGGCCGTATTCACATGAAGATGTATCGTATATGTGTATTAGGATGAAATCTCCGATCAGAAATAACAGCTTTCATTTGAATAATCTGATCAGTTAAACCGCAGCAGCTTTGTTGTGGTCGTGGCTCACACTGGCGTCCCAGAGGAGGGACGTGAGCTCAGCACATGTTGCATAATGGGATTATGATCGACCAGAGAAAAGAACCCACCACCACAACAACATAAGCAGTATGTTATTATTCATGAATCTTTAAGACTAAATGTAGTTGTGTAAAGAGTAGTGATGAAGATTATCTAGATGTACAATATATCCAGAAGAATTATTATTATTTTTTTATCTCAACCTAATTTCAAGTACACACATTCAGAAAGTTGCATTAAAACTAGTGGACAGCAAAGGTAGTTTGGCAGTGGTTTGAGAGAGCACCGTCATATCATTCCGTTTACCTAATATAGATTGATTTTGATCAATACTAAATAAGGAAATGTTTCCCCTGTATCCATCCTTCATTGCCACTAGGGTTATGGTGACATTTTAAACGAGGTACAAATGTTCTGTATGGACAGCACTGACATACAGTATAAGGGGGACTATTGATCCAAAGGTAAATCACACAGCACAACATTTACTGTTCGAACGCAGTGTTTTGTTTCTTACCGGACAGAAGTAGGTGTTCTCTGCGATGTGTTGAGCCACGCGCAGGTCTGAGGCCGACAGAGACATGATCAGCAGCAGAGAGTCCCGAGCCTGTTGCCCCACCAGCCCCTGTCTGACACACACACATTTCACTCAGTTACACTAACATACCCTACTTTCCGGATTATTAAGCACACCTGTATATAAGCCGCACCAGCAAAATTTTTGTCCACATATAGGCCGCAGGTTTTCATGTTGTCAAGTAGCAGATGGACGACCGTTTTAATTACTCACAACATGATTTGATGACAAGGTTAACTGTTAGCTCCTGTCCTAGCTCCTGAAAAATACCTCCATAAACTCTGCTCTGACAACTCTACCACAGTAAAAAGACGTTACTGTATATTGGTCGCAGGGTTAAAAAAAACTACAAAAAAGGTTCCAGAAATTACGATCCAATCCAATCCAATCCAATCCAGTTTATTTATAAAGCACTAATAAAAACAACATGGTTGACCAAAGTGCTGTACATAAAAATACATACACAAATACACATTTACAAAATACAAAACAGTGGCAAAAAACACTATTTACAGCAAAAAATCAATTGAAATCAATTAAAAGCCAATGAGAACAAGTGTGTCTATAGACGAGACTTAAAAACAGGATGTATGAATCTGTTTTAAAGCCAAAACAACTTCCAGTTTATGTTAAATTCTGATCATTGTATTGCAGTAGAATATACAGTATTACAGACATACTTGTACTCAAATTACAATATTGTGAAAAAAGGAAAGCAAAACCGGTTACACATAGTGAAATACAATTACTGACACAACAGAAAGGTTCGGTGCTCCATATTACCAGTTGTTATCGAAAGCCTTGTACCTGTGTGTGTATGGTATGAGCAGGGAGAAGAGCAGGAAGTTGGCGGCCCCCTGGTCTTCGCTGGTGTGGAAGAACAGCTCCAGGACGGACGGATCCTTCACCAGAACCACACAGAGCTGATGTAAGAGCAGCACGAGCTCAGATTCCACCAGGCCTCCTCTGTCTACAAGCAGAGCAAGTGAGTGTGCAACCAAAACAACGTTCACTTTTGGCCATAGTATTTCACTTGGAAAATACCCATAGACTGTATACAGGAATGGACAATAGACAAGTATTCCTACTGGCCTCCGAGTCTGTGAATGAACTGCTGTCGTTACCCATAGTGTTTGGACAATTGCGGAAGCAGCTGTAGAGCTAACTCAAACGGGCTCTATGGGCGGGCATCTGAAGACAAATTTGTGGATGGCAACGGCCTGGCAACCAAAGAGCCAATCAGGAGCGGTGCTGGTCTGACCGCTTGCACATCTATAGCTATTTTTTAGACAGAAGGCCCCGATTGGTCAGATGTTAAGGAGACATTATCAAAATACCAACACCAGGATCATTCAGAGCGGTGAACCAGGAACTTAAGTGATTGGAGCCAAAGCCAAAACCTTTGTTCATGAGCACTTCTCTATTGTGCTTAATAGCTAGCAGGTTAGCACCTCGCTTACCTGTCGGGGCCCCAGCGCAGGAGGCCAGCAGCATCATCAGAGGCCTCAGCACTGGTTTGTGGTGGAGCAGCGGCTGTCGAGCCTGGGACAGCAACATCTGATACATCCGCAGCTGCTCCAGTTTCATGTCCTCCGTGAACTGTCTCCTTAGACTCCAGAGAAAGAGTCGCTCCAACACCCCCTCCACCACCACCAGCTCCAGGATCGGACCCATAGCGCCACCTACAGGGGAAAGAGGGTGGGAAAGTTGATGCACAGCAAAGACTAATACATTTCAAGGTAAAGATGGAATGGATCGTTGCCTAGGTGAGGTATTGCAGAAACGCAGATTGCTGTTCGCTTTTATTATCAAATTTTTTGAGTTTGAACTGTTTCTCTGATCTGTGTTGACAAATCGACTTTGTAAAGTCCTCCAAAAGGACTACTGTTGCGATCGAGGGCTGTACAAAAATAAATTGAATTTAATTGAATCTAAGAAGCACTTTTTATTTCATGTGGATTGGCCCAGGGATTAGAGATATTAGCTTGAAACAAAAATGAGAAGTCTGACTTTTGACAATTACCATAGTTACCTGGAAAGATGTTTGCCCTCCGCTACAGTTTGCATCTATAGGCTGCTTATAATACTGTGATGTCACATGTTCCCTTTCCCTGTGAGAAAAGAATCACCTTGGCCCACCTCCTCCTCCATGAGCAGGAAGAGCATGTGTTCCACGTAGTTCTGAACCGCACTGGCCTCGTCTGCGGGGATCGCACCCACACGCGCCATGCCGCCGCCGGTCATGTGACCCGACAGGAAGCCTAGGGCTCCAGAACTGCTGCGGCTCTGCTCGTGCTTCTCCAGGATCTTCACAACCTGAGAAACAAGGAAAAGCATGTCACGTTTGATTATCATTCAATAAACATTTCAAGCTATAGTTTTTAACTTTTGTATCATTACATTTTGTCTTGTTGAATAACATGTCAACAAATCAAATTATAGTAGTAATATGTAGTAGTTTATCACCACTGTGTATGGAGTGAATGAATGATGTGAAGCGTCTTTATACTGTATATATAAAACCGATGCATTATCATTACCTAAGTTAGAGAGGATTTTGCAAAAGATTTAGCTAATGTTTTGTTTTACCAAATAATTATTTATAAAACTCTGTATGAATACACGTTTATTTCGTTGAGTGATGTTGTAAACGTACATGTTGTAAATCCCGCAGTCAATAGTTGGTATTGATTTTGTAGATATTCATGGATTTACAAAGCATGCATCTCAGGACAGACAAGCAAACATAACTTGGCCCACTAGTTCCAAAGACACTTTATGAATATACAGAAACAACATCCATAAAACTTGAATATGCATAAAAAGCATTGAGTCACATATAAAACCGTCCGACCTGTGCCCAGTGGTTCTTGAAGACGATCATGCAGGTCTCTGGATCCACTCCTCTCAGCGTCAGGGACTTTTGGTGGTTGCCCCCGGTGACCACGGACGCCATCATTGTAGCTGCAGATCGAGAGGCGAAGTGGAGCTATAGCATGGTGGTCTTCAGGGGGAGTTTGTGGCTCTCTCTGCCCAGGAGGAGGCGCTGCTTATGGAGAGAGCAGCCATGAGCACCTGGCCTGCTGCAACAAAAGGTTTTAAACATATAATAACTTTAAGAATAGAGTGCTTTAGTTTATATACGAATATGGAAGTCGTTTTATACCAATATTGAGATTTAACATGTCTGATCCAGGTGTCTTTGATTAGAAGCTGTATTTCATTTTTTATAGACTTTTTCTGATGTTTAATGAGCAAAGAACGATGAAAAAATAAATAATAAAATAAAACCATGTAGCACAAATATATGTTCTCATTTAAACATGTTCACTTAATTGTATAATCTGTAATTATGGTGTTTTGTTCTGTAAAACTATGTTGTCTATATTAGTCTCTCTATGGCCTTGCACTAAAGTACACATGTTCGTGCCATATGAACTAACTTTGACTATGAGGAACACAGGGACTTGCCTCCTGCTGGGACAATGAGGAACACAGGGACTTGCCTCCTGCTGGGACTATGAAGAGCACAGGGACTGGTTTCCTGGGGTTGCCCAGAGTTAGGACTAAGCATTTCAGATACGCAAGTAAAACAGTCTTCTTGGAAATGTGTCACAGGCTTCTACTCAATGCTCAAATCCTGGTTAAAAACAGTTCTGTTTAGTTGTGCATACAACTGAAGGATTGTATTATGACACACTTTTTGTTAATCACTTTGAGATACATTGTGTGAACTGTGCTATACAAATAAACGTGCCTTGCCTTGAAAGTGTTGGAATACAACTTGATTAATGGATTGAATTGATTGAAGAGCTTCGGCCTATCCATGACAGAACACATGATCACGGAGTGGACGACACCTTACTGTACTCATTTTTTCTGGAAGCGGTGACGTCAAGGCAGGAAGGAAGCGTCGTCAGCGGCAACGACAAGCAGGAAGCCACACCCACATATCACATTCCAGGAATATTGCAGCAATTTGTGAGGAACTTAGTGAGAACCAGAAGTCCTAGGGCTGACCGAGGAGTTTATCACCGACTTCTCTAATCCACCGTTTAATTTGACAAATCATGTGGATTTAGGACCATTTCCTTTTTTCGATTGGTGATTAGAATGTTTCTTCAAAGGGAGAAGCTTGAATTGAAAGCAACTCTATCTATTTTCCTACAGATCTGTCTAAGAAGAAATAATAATGTTCATTTCCATGTGAAAAAAATAACTTTATCATTATCTATCAAGAGACTATCAATTAAACATGTATTGAGGTTCATTACTGGTATCTATTCATATTTTGGGTAAGCAGTCCCACTGCCAACAAAAAAGAAATCAGGAAAAATAAATGCTACATCATGCGTATGTTTGGTCTTAACTCTCTAATCGTACAGTTACATTTATTCTTACTTATCATTGTAGTGTATCTTTGTCTTAGAATCTATCTAAGTTATAGTTTCCATGTGAACGTTCCATCACATTTTTCTGTCATAATTGATGTACTTTTCCAGTGCTTAATTTCAATGAAGGATTGTATTTATTTTGACATTGAAAAAAATAAACATTGTACAACCAATATGCTCTTGATCATAAATATTAAACAAGTAATGTCTAAATAAAAGTAAAAACGGTTATATTGAGATTCCTTCAAAAACAATAATACATAGAAGGTCCTTTGGGTTCACCACATGTGTTTGATAATAATCTGAGGTTTAATCCAGCAGCAGGTCACATGCCATCACTGAGATTAAAACCACGCAGTCGCCTGACCTGCTTCTATTCACCCACATTCATTCCATCACAATAAGAGTATATAGGCCCTACAGCACCATCAGCTCAGTAGATTTCTTGAGTGAAATATCGACACAGTTGGAATTACCCTCAACTTTGTAAATGTTTATGTCAACGTCAATGTAAACTTTTTTTTTCTAACACCAGCTACAATAGAGATTAGCTGATTTTAAAACCAATACAATATTTAGAGATTTTTTAACGATTAAACATAAACTTTATTTATTTATTTATTTGGTTTATTTGAGCAACATACAATGCATTTATACAAATACAACAAGAGATATAACTAACTGACATATTTGCTGCTCAAAAGGCAAAACTTTGTTAATTATTAAAGAAACACATGCTCAATTCGTTGCTGTTACACAACCAAATAACATAAATTGTTTTTTTATTTTTTTAAATACTCCATATCTGGTGTTTTACTCAAATACTCAAATTATGTGTATGTGTTGTAAAAGATACTCAAACTGGAGATTATCTGTTCAGAACATTTGGGAGCAGATCCATCTCTCAGCATTAACTTGGACACGTTAAGATACGTTTATTTCTTGGTTGTTCAACTAGCTACATAAAAACTTTAGGAGATTAAATTGAAAACCAAAATACGAGGATGATCATATGTTTTGCTGTAGGTTAGCTAGCGTTAGCCAGTCGCGAGCTAACTTTAGTCCAATAACGTCAGTGCGTAACCTACAGAGCACGTTCACGTCACCTCCTTACCTTTGCACTAGTCTTTTTCCTCTCCGGTTGCATCTTGTGAGTTTCTACAGTGATTTAAACTTCTTCTGCCGCCACAGTGAACAAAGTTATTATTCCATTTTGTGTTTGAGATGTTGTTTGTCCATTTTATTTGTAGGTTTTAGCTCCGTGAACTAAAGAGGCGCTCAAACCTCTGAACCGCATTAAGCTGCTGTCAATCAAGGCGACTGCTGCTGCTGCCATGGGAGACCACAAGCCCCGCCCCCGTATCAACTCCCGCGGTAAAAACATCAATAATAAAAGAAACTATAACAAAAAAAACAACAAAAATGATAACAATAATATTAATAATAGTATTAACGGTAATAATGATAACAGGTAGTAAAATTACTAACAATATTAGTACTATAATTAATTGTAATGATTATTATAGATAAATTAGATGTGAACTCCACACTTATTTTGACAAAATATATACTGTCATTTGAATAGTTTTTGTGAGAAAACTCCGACGCTTTGCATGACATTGGATGCATAATTGCTGAATATGTGATAAAATTGATAAAAGACGTGTTGATAAAAGACGTGTTGATTTGGAAAAAAATATATGACGTTTCAGCAGGGCTTGAGGCCATGCGTGAATCTCTTTGATGCCCCCTGGTGGTTCAATCTCAAATCTAGCACCTTGTAACCAAATCTTAAATTATAGTAGTTGTAAAAAAAGAGTATGAAGACAAGCAACAATCAATCAATATCTTTTTATTTATGAATCAATTTTCAACAAAAATACAACAAAGTGCTTTACAGTTGGGTTAAAACGATCCCACAACCAGAACACACCAAACCACGTATATTTCTAAATATACACCCGTTGGCACCAGGAGCAGAGACCCAGGGGACCACAGAGGACCCAGAGGAGAGATGAAGCCAAGGCTCCTGACCTCCACCCCCAACAAACACTGGGGATACTCAAAACAATACAATAAAAATTAAACATTGAAATGTAATGATAATAATAACAATAATGATAAGAAATAAATAATAATGAGTTAATAGATTATACAAAATGCAGTAATAAATCAAAATACTGATCAAACAAAAATGTTTTTTCTTATAATGAAGTATCAAGTCACAGAAATGATCAGACAAGGCAACATTGACCACACTTTGTATTAACCCCCTTTGTAATTAGTAGGTCTAAAGTGTGCCCTCTGCTGTGTGTGCTGTCATGCACATGCTGAGTCATGTCAAATGCAGTGAGAGCTGAAAAATGTACTTGAAGACATAACTCAGCTCTCACTGTCCAAGTGTCAGCCAAGATCATCTCACAACATACCTATATTTCAATGCTTTTCTTACTATACTCCCAGACCTCTGCAGAAACAGCAATGGTAAAACCAGACTACTGGGCAGTGCTGCCCAAACAGACACTGCTCTCATCACACAACCATCTACTTTCCCCAGAAACAAAACATGAATGCAACTGCACACTGCGCTTACAATGAGCCTGATCAGCAGAGCTCCCAGTATGGCCACCATGATGTTAACAGTCGAACGCTTTGATTGGTTAATTTGTCCCTTGTGTCTGCTCGCCTCTCCGGGTTTTGGGCGATTCAGAACACAGAGCACATACACTGTAAAATAAGTGATAAAAGGGAATGGTGTAATGGCCAACACAAAATATGAAATAGCATAAGTGAATTCTGTATGACTATGACTAACCAATAAACTGTAAATCAGACTAAAAACCCACACTATACCAAGACTGATGTTTTTGATGATGACTCCGCCCCCTCTCTTCAGCCGCAGGTAGGTGACAGGATGGACCACAGCCAGGTAACGCTCCACAGATGTCAAACTGTGGAATAGTGTCTGTCCAGTCATGGTGCCAAAGACTGTATTTACTCCAACTCTCAGCGCCATTTTGCTTGATCCATAGTAGCCAAATAGAGCAACAAATGACCCGATGATATTCACCATCTCCATGGACGTCATGTTGAGGGTGATGACATCGGAGTGACTGAGGCCTCCTGAGGACTGGGGCTTCTTCCATTTGTTGAAGCCAATGTAGAGGACAAAAAGGAAAACAGGCAGGAAAAAGACGTACACCAGCAACCAGAAAGTGAATATGTACTTAGTCACAATGGAGAAGAGACAGCCCTCAAACTCAGTGTGCGAAGAGTTAGCCATTCGCCAATCAGTAGGGGTACAGCAAGGTAAAAGGAAGTCACTATTTATATCAGTACCAACCGTCTCCTCGCTGATGCTGAACCACAAACTTTTCCTGTCCACTGTCTAAAGTTTGCATAGTTTGATTGATTGTGAGAGTTCATTGAGTCTGTACGCTGTTGTGCGAGTGGAACTGCCAACAGCTGCTTTTCATACTGAAAAGTTCAGCATAAGTCTTAAATCATATCTGATATGTGTAAAAAGCAGGTTCTTCAAACCCGGATTTAAAAAGGACCACTGGATTAAAAGCGAATGAAAAGCAATTTATTATAAAATACATTAAAAACAAGTAAATAAAAGCAATAAAAACCTGAGCTAAAAAAAGGAAAAAAAAGCTTAAACAGAGGCTAAAACGCAGGCTAAAACACGCAGACCACGGGGCTCTCCCCTCCCGTGTCTGGCTCCCGTGTCTGGCTCCCGTGTCTGGCTCCCGTGTCTCGTTCTCTGTCCCTCTCCCCCTCCCCATCTCAGTCTTTTATTCTCAAGGCGCAGGTGTCTTGATTGCTCACGTGGGGAGCCGGGGTGCTTCAGGTGGTGCCAGTTAAAATCAATATTAAAAACACACAAACACAACATGCATAAAATATGAATAAAACCATATTAAAACCCACCACCCATTTTGCACCCCCTGACACATATTTAAAAATTACAGTTTGTTTATGGATCATCGCACATGTTTTCCTTCTTGTGCACAACCATTGACATTTTTTTACTGACCTTTATTTAAAAGTCAGGAGTCTGGAAAATGTTGTTTGGTTTTAACAGTAAAAGCAGCATCTTGTAGTATTTACCAAAATGTACATGGAATAACACTCTTTGGACACAAGATCAGTGCGAATCAGAATATTTTATTCCCTTTGATGAAAATAAACAATAGAACAAAAAAAGCATACACTGTAATAAATACTCAGCAGAAGCCTGAGCACAGGTGAAAAAAAAATATTAGAAATGCACGGCGCCGTAAAGATGGCGCCGTGGCAAGAGCTCTGGTGTGTGTCATCTGGTGCACACTGGGGTAGTCTTGCACAGTTTTTCCTATCTGGTTTTACTGAAAATGGCAAATAAATGAATCTGAATCTGAATCTGGAGTTGGACACAGATGTATTTGGAACAATTGTATTCACAAATACTGTTGAGTGCTAATGAAAAGATACAGGACGCCTTTGGAACATCACAAGGTTCCATCTGCTCAATCATCACAAGCCGTAGACCTTTTATCCCTGATGCTAGCAGCTGATGACCACTGTATCAGGGGGATTTAATCTTGAGTCAAATGTTAAATTAGATTCGACTAGTCAAGTTTTTATGTAAACGTCTCTTGTTTGCTTTGTCTAATGGTGTTCTGCATCTGGAATTTTGGAAGCCAATTAATACACCAAAAATCAATTTAGCCCAAATCACTCACCATACACAATCCAATTAACTGCACCACTTTTTGGAGGTATAGGGTGTTTCGATCCCTGACGAGCCCCCAATTTTTTTACAATTTTTTTAGGGTAAAGGAGGTAACAAAAAAAGCAATATGTTAAATGGCAAATTAATGTAGATAAGTAGACAAATCAAAAGGACACATTACAGGAGATAAGGAGATACCTCAACGTTGTCTAAACCTCTACATTAACTCAAACAGAAACTAAACACTAAACTAAAAAGTGTCACAAAAACAAAACCTCAAAGTGACAGCTAAAAAGAGACAAATAAAAGCTCTACGGACCAGAAGAACCATGTCTGGTAGGTCATTGCCACTCCTTGTGATAATGACAGACAGTTCCATCACACGAACATGAGGCCAAAATGGCACACCAGCCACACACAGACTGGCAGCCCCAAACGGGTTCTTCTTCTTCTTCTGATGGGTTTTTATAGCGGTTGGCACTCGCTTTTACTTCGCATTACACAACACGTTTGATAGATTCACTCTGATTCCACTGTTTGCAGTTTCCAGAGGCATGTTTGATTATTATAATTAATCATAATATTGATGATTATTTTATATAATGCATTGTGTCATTAAGTCCTGTCTGTCCAATCCTGAGTCTTGTCATTGAAACCTCTTGTTTCCTATTGCCGCTTGTATCAATTCTCACTCCTACCCTTTTCTGAATCTTAGGATACCACCGCCCAGTGTTCCCCTGATCCCAGTCTTTTTGCCATTTCAGCTTCAAGTTTCTTTTAATGATACTATTTGCTTCTGATTTGCTCACATTTACTGTTATATCCACAATTGCATTGTTCACTGCAGCTTTGGCCGTTCTGTCTGCCATCTCATTCCCCACCACTCCAATAAGCCCCATCATCTGTATTTTAGCTAACACTTGTCGAATTTCAGTCATTTTATCTTCTATGCTGTCCGAGTGACTGTTCTGAAGACTACTTGAATCTGAACAAATCATTGATCTTAACGGTCTTACTTCCTCCACCCACTGAAGGCCCAGGAGCCCTGGACAGGTGTGTGGAGTGTGGCTTAAAGTAGGAAAGTGACTCCAGGTGTGTGAGCTGGATTGGCCAGGTGCACGGCTGCTCCTCCAATCAGCACCTGAGTCACGGACTTCTGGGAGGTGGGAGGGCCAGTGGTTCTCCAATCACAGGCCATGGATCTCGAGACAGGAGGGGTTGCCATGCACACTCAAAAAACACACAAAATCCCAAAGCAGGCGCAATTTACAGGCCTAGGGCGGAAACACTCTCCCCCTTAAGTTACAAAACACCAGATGGATAAAATATATATCTATCTATATATTTATCAATCAATCTATTAATCTATCTACCTATCTATCTATGCCTTGAAGAGGAGGCAGCAGCCACCATTCCCATTTTCCCAAAACCATATGGAGTGGTTGTTGAAAGTGACCCTGTAAACCAGCAGGCATGCATAGCATACAACAAAAACCTGCTGCAGATGGCAACTTTTCTCCAATTGCCTGTCAATAAATGCCACTGCAGTGACCACACAGGCACAGAGTGTGACGGCCGTCCACCCTTTTCTGTAAAGTCACATGCGTGAGGTCCATCTTTGATATTGGAGTGGGTGAGTTTACATGGTTTGCACATGTGTTTACCAGACTAAGGTGGTACATGTGTGAAGTTACAGACTTGTTAACACTTTCTTCCCCATATAGTTTTGCCCGCACGGCCACAAATTATGGAGTTTATGCAAGGAGGAGATTTTATGTTGTTCTCCAATATTTCCCTCTTATTCAAATTCATGAATATCTGCATGGTGCCTCCTCAACATCTTCTGCAGTCCAGGGAACCTACTGTCTAAAAACAATAAAGCAGTTTTGGGAGGAGAAAAGGACTGCTATCATCAACAGATTAGAGTCCAAAGACAACGTTGTTGCCCTTGGTAAGTAAGCATATTCATTTCTAAGCCCGTGTATACGTATGCTTACATGCCTTTTGTGTTTATGTTTTAGGTGACAGGAGGATCTACTTACCAGGTAATGCACAAAGCTCTGTGGCATTTCATTAATATCGGTGTGTTGTTATTGAAATGTTTGTCATTATTTCCCCCACAATCTATATATTTTTCCAAAAAGGTCACTCTGCTATGTGCTGTACGTACACAACGATGGAGCTAGACACCATGGACATCGTAAGTGTTTAATTGTATTTAACACAGGTCTGGTAAGACTTTTTAAAATATAATTGTGGTGTCTTCAATCAGGCTGGAATGGTTTCTGGTCAAAAGGCTTTACTTGTATGGATCGAGGACATCTTTAACCATTTCTGGTATGCTTGTCAGCACACAAGCACCAGAGAGGAGTTTATGGTCTGTATGAACATTGGATATTTATAACGTCACTAGATAATGTAATTTTTCTCTTTATGTGGTGACATGGTATATCTTTTGATATACAACGTATTGTATACATTTAGGGTGTGTGGAGAGATGTACTTCACCATATGCGCCTCTGGAGGATAAACAGGACAAAGAGCCCATTCCACGTGGTTCTTAACCGGAGGTGGCTGAAGGATATTGAGAAGTTACTCATCTTTCGGTAAGTCACGTGGGGGGCATCTTGTGGGAATGTACAGGAACTGCCTTTTTAATACTACAAAGTATATTATATTACACAGAGATCGAATTTATTTGTATGTTTGACGTTACAATAATCTTTGTTCTGTAGGACAACTTCGAAGCTCGAATCTTTCCAAAACCATGTCCTGATGTACGCAGGGAAGCGTTTTGGATTTACTTGGCGCCTATGAAGTTCGTACACTCCTCGCTGCATTAGACAACAACCTCCATAACCATCGCCCAGTGCATGTGAGCAGCAAAGGCCAAGTATCGTACGTCATACTTTATTATCAAGATACAGTATAAAAGCAATAAAGAAATATATTAATTCTACTGATGTCTACAGAAAAAGTCTTAGTGTTACACTGTGAAGGAGACTAAAGACTACAGCTCTATCCCAGACCAGCGCCTCAGCTCTGCTGGGGGACTCTCAAAAAATGTAAGCAGATGACCCCAGGGCCATGGGTCCTCTGTCCTCCTCATCCCTCCTCCTGCAGCTGAACTGGAGCAGACACAACAGAGGACAGGTAGTGATGATAATCAAGTGGAAAACAAGTCTCTATGATATAAAATATTTTTCTTTCTTTTTCTAGGACTTTATTATCTGGTTCCTGAACAGAAGCTGACAGCAATCAAAGATGGACACAGCACATTTATTTATATTATGTCAAATATAAAAAAATGTCCCCCAAACATTGAAATAAAAGAAAGACTCATTTCTAAAGTGGTGATGAGTTGCATTTTAGTTTTAATTCCCTACTGTCGAACGAATAAAGGGGCTTCTTTATAACCCACATGTCCTGCTCTTCTCATTCCTGCCTGGCCTCTCCTCTGGCTGCTGCTCTTCCTCCTCTTGCTGCTCCTCTTCCTCCTCTTGCTGCTCCTCTTCCTCTTCTTGCTGCTCGTCTGCCTCTCCCCCATTCAAAGTCACTGCTCTCAG